GACAGACTAACATTTTCATCTTGCAATGGTTCAGTACGCCAGTAACGATGATACACTGGCTTCTTGGTGGTTATCTTTGTCCATTTGTTTTCCACACTCCAGTTTGAGTTGATGTCCAAATTCTGTCCGTTTTCTCTATAAAACCAAGAGGAACAACTCTCTAAATCCTTCCAATGTGCCCTTCATAATAACTTATTCGTCACACTGCTGATAGTTAACACTTTCTTCTGGCCTTCCATGGTTTTCAAGATGCCGAAAAATTCAAATTTGAAGACTTTGAAGCGTCAAATACGCGGTGTTCGAGTCTCACATAACTATCACACCAGCCTTTGTTTTTCTGGTTATTGTTTGCCGTTTTTGAACCAATCAAGATAAACAACAAAACGGAGCAAAGATAAAAGCGAACAATTCATGAAAAAATAACACTTTCAGCGCGTGCTTTATCATGTTAAAAACGTCTTGCAGTGGGTTGTTATGGGAACAGGAATGGGGGTCTGGGTTTACTGATTGAGGTAGGGAAGTTGGGGCATACGCGTGCCATATACTTCACGGACTTTCGCTTCATAATAGTGCTATTGCTGAGAAACAAAACTTAGGACTCAGGAGTACCGTATTTATTCGATTAACCGCCCTGGGCGCTTATTAAATTTTTGGACCTTGAGCGCTTATTCGAGGCTGGGCGCTTATTAAATTTTCACCATTTTCAGCAAGTGAAGTATGTTTATTTTGCAACAAAACAATAAATGCTAATAACAAAAGGCGAAGAAGTAACAAAGCAAGGTTTCTGTAAAATGCTCTGAAGAAAACTCCGTCCTCGGGGAAGTCTCTTATTAGAATTTATTCACTCAAGTGGGTGGGGTAGGGGTGAGTGCTTATTTGAGTTTGATTGGGAGGAGGAGGGGGTGGGCACTTATTCGAGGCTGGGTGCTTATTAACTTTTTCTGCCTTTAGGATGGGCGCTTATTCGAGGTGAGTGCTAATTTGAGGTTGGGCGCTTATTCGAATAAATACGGTATTCCGATCCTGTTTTATTCATTTGTGATTACAATAACGTCCTGCAACTAACAGTTAACTTCAACTTTACTTATTACTCAACTTAGTTTTTTACATCTTAACACTGAACTATAAAATATAAAATTCAACTCTCTTAAAAGTCCAAATCACTCTTCATATAAAAACAAGCACAAACTTGATTAAATTGCCATATACGTCTCTCCTCCTTTTTCCCATAACAGGAGGCATAATAATCATTTACTGCATGATAAACTGGCGACTACACATGCAGTATTAAAACTAACACTACGTTTGTCAAAAAACACTTTCTTAATCATTTGAGCTGATCTAAAAATCTTCAAAGAAACCTCTCTATTACTGTAAGAAGGATATCAACAAATAATTTACATTTTGTAACAATTGAAACCATTTGTTCATTTTTCTTGTATCTGTAAAAAAAAAAAAAGGCAAAAAAAAGACAAAAAGAAGAGAAGAAAGAAAATCAAGTCATAGTATTTCTGAAGCTGCCCATAGTTGTTCTTGTCCAACGTTTAGTAAAAATCAATGTTTGCATGTCCACATTAACCATCCTAGCAAACAAACTATTAGAACTTGAACTTGGTGCTTACCACTGACAACAATAATACAATGTTATAATGTAATAATGGCAAAGTTTTTGGGTTACCTGTAAATAAAATTATTCATTAAATTTAAAAGACTTGCCCCTTTGGGTAGCTAGATGTACAATAGTGTACCTACAATAAAATTATTCCGTGACTAAAATGAACAAAACTTGGGCCAAGACCTACTAGTACAAGTTTAATTTTTTAACGCCTCTAAACTTAACTAAATGTAAGATGCTGCCCTTTGCAGAACCACCCATAAACCGCCATCATTTTACTGCCGCTTTGGTGTGTCCGTAAGTTTACTGTCAAACTAAACTGTCAGGAAACTGTCTCCATTTTAAACCAGTGCTATGTTTAATCTCATGATTCATCAAGTCTCACTCTCTATGGGACAAAATCTGAATAAATTTCTTCTCGTGAAAACTCGCCACCAAGTTGTCACACCCTTTGCACAGTGCAATGGCATTCAAACTTCCGCCCATGGGAAAAGTGGAGATAACTCTGCCATCAGACTTGACGACTATAACTGAATTCTTGTCAGAGCCACATACAAGGCTGTCATGCACAGCATCCAGTGCCATGGAAACCAAACGGCCATTGTTGTCTCCAAGATTCTTGATTTCACGGAGAGGCTTTCCTTTATGGTCAAAGACTTTAACGGTGTTTGTGCCATCTGAGACAAAAAAGTTGTCATTATGGTGAACTGCTAGTAATTTATTGCCTTTGAATTGATCGGAGGTGAACGCCCACTTTTGACATCTTTCAGAATCATACACAATAATACCAGGACCAGATGAGTCACTAAGAGAGGTTAGAACATAACGGCCTTCTACATCAATTGTCATCTTCTGAAATCTAACAGATGCATTTGGAGCCTGAATGAACTTTCGAATGAATGCCCCATCCTTGTCAAAGTGAAGGAGGCGGTTCTTCTCTTGATTCAGCACCACAATATCGTTATTTTTGGAATAAGCTATTTCTTTGAGATCACCATATTGAATTTCAAACTGTTTGTGTGGATCACCAGCTGGAGTGAATATATGAACACGTTTACTTTCTGCATCAAGAACAGCAATTTCACCACTTACTGGTGACACTGTCACGGCCGTAGGCACAAACTCAGTGTCAATATGACGGATAACACTACCAGTTTTTGGCAAGTTACTCGATTGGGGTTCAGCCTTGCTTGGTTTAACAAGGGAAATTTCACCCAGGATTTTACCACATTTGTCAACTTTTGCTGGGATAAAGTTCACATTTGTTGTTCCATGCAAACTCTGAAGTTTTGTGACCTCTGCTTTTAAGCTCTGCAGTGAATCTTGACACTGATTTTCGCATCTGCCTTTGGATCTCTGGAATTCTTTAACATCATTTTCATCCTTTGTCTTGTCTGCAACATCCAAAGAGATTGACACTTTCCTACACAGCTGTTTAACTTCAGCACATTTCAGATCGAAAGGACTTTGAGAAGCCATTTCTTTAAAACTCGCATCAACCTGAGACAACAACTTCTTCTCTTCCGTCTCGATTCTTTTGGCCAAACGTTTTGCCTCAGCTCTTATCTGATCCTTCATTTTAATCTTGCTTTCCTCGAACACTTTAGCGTGTACCTCTTTGAGTTTCTCAAAGTCCTTGCTTATTTCATTCATCTGCTCTCTCCACCGTTGAACGGCTTCACCAAAAGCACGTCTTTCTTTCTGGATAGGAGAATTCTCAATCAGCCGTTTTAACAAATGGTTCGTAGGAAAAGCAGCTACTCCCGAAGGAGGAATCTGAGACTTCTTGCGACATTCAGGACATTGCACTTTGGTCCTCCTTGGATTTTGCCTCACAATTTTACCAAGACACTTGAGACAAACATTGTGTGCACAGGTAGGAAGGCACTTAGGGTCGTCAAATATCTCCAAACAAACAGGGCACGCAATTTCATTACCTACAAAAGCAGTAAAGTCTGAACCTTTCGCCGCCATCTTGTATTAAACCGTCGCGCTTGGCACCTTGGGATATGAAATCTCCACTTGCTTTGGGCCATTGCGTTGGGGTGGGGAGGGTGGGAAGAAGAAGAAGAAGAAGAAGAAGAAGAAGAAGAAGAAGAAGAAGA